AAAAAAAAAAAAAAAAAAAACCTCTCATCTCACAAGTGAGGGAACTGAGTTCTGAAGAGGGGAAGTGATTACAGTCTAAGAGTTGTATTGCTTAAGTAAAAATGATCACTTCCCTTCACTTAAAAAGCCAAGAGCTGGCTGGGCATGGTGGCTCATGCCTATAATCTCAGCACTTTGGGAGGCTGAGGTGGGTGGATCATGTCAGGAGATTGAGACCATCCTAGTCAACATGGTGAAACCCCATCTCTACTAAAAATTCAAAAATTAGCTGGGCGTGGTAGCGGGCGCCTGTAATCCCAGCTACTCGGGAGGTTAAGACAGGAGAATCACTTGAACTAGGAAGTTGGAGGTTGCAGTTAGCCAAGATCGTGCCACTGCACTCCAGCCTGGAGACAGAGCAGGACTCTATCTCAAAAAAAAAAAGTCAAGAGCTGCTTGGAGAAGCAAGGTCAGTAGTGTTAAAGCCAGGACACCTTGGCCGGGTGCAGTGCCTCACGCCTGTTATCCCAGCACTTTGGGAGGCCAAGACGGGCAGATCACGAGCTTAAGAGATCGAGAGCATCCTAGTCGACATGGTGAAACCCCGTCTCTACTAAAAAATACAAAAATTAGCCGGGTGTGGTGCCACATGCCTGACGTCTCAGCTACTCGGGAGGCTGAGGCAGGATAATTGCTTGAACCTGTGAGGCGGAGGTGGCAGTGAGCCAAGATCTCACCATTGCACTCCAGCCTGAGACAGAGCAAGATTCTGTCTCAAAAAAAGAAAAAGAAAAAAAAGCCCGGACACCTTTTATAACATTATTACCCATTAATTCATCTATTTATTTTATTTATTTATTTTTCGAGATGAAGTCTCCCTGTTACTAGGCTGGAGTGCAGTGGCTCAGTCTTGGCTCACTGCGGTTTCCATCTCCCAGGTTCAAGTGATTCACCTGCCTCAGCCTCCCAAGTAGCTGGGACTACAGGCACGTGCCACCATGCCCCTTTAGTAGAGACGTGGGGTTTCACCATGTTGGCCAGGCTGGTCTCGATCTCCTGACCTCATGATCCACCTGCCTCAGCCTCCCAAAGTGCTAGGATTACAGGCATGAGCCACCAACACCTGGCTAGAGTGACTTCTGTAATGGTTCTTTAAAAGTGTGCATGAATGAATGTGCATGGTTTCATCTATGCTTATGGGTTCAAGAAATCCTGAATAAGTGAGGATAAATGTCCTTTAGGAAAAATGTGAATTCCTAGCTTTCTCTAGTGGGAGGCCAGAGAAAACAACCCCAACAGTAAGTTAAAGGGGCAGAGAAAGGGGTCTGATAAGGCTCTTGTATTCCTTAATAAAAATTAAGTCAGGCCGGGCACGGTGGCTCAAGCCTGTAATCCCAGCACTTTGGGAGGCCGAGGTGGGTGGATCACGAGGTCAAGAGATCGAGACCATCCTGGCCAACACGGTGAAACCCCGTCTCTACTAAAAATACAAAAATTAGCTGGGCGTGGTGGCGTGCGCCTGTAGTCCCAGCTACTCAGGAGGCTGAGGCAGGAGAATTGCTTGAACCCAGGAGGCGGAGGTTGCAGTGAGCCGAGATTGTGCCACTGCACTCCAGCCTGGCGCCTGGCGACAGAGTGAGACTCTATCTCAAAAAAAGAAAATAAATAAATGAATAAATAAAAAATAAAAATTAAGTCTATTATAATGCTGACTGGAAAGAAAAAGAGATATCCCAGTGTGGCACAGAGGAGGTAAAGCAATGTAGTTACCTGTTTTGGATCTGGACTATGGAAAAGGAGGCTGGGAATGCAGTTTTCCTTTTGGGTTTAGGGTGGTCAGATAAGGGAGGTTGACAGAAGTTATGTAAGGCCTCAAGGGACACTTCAGGGCTACTTCAGTTCAGCTCCCCAGTTTGAGTAAAACCTTCCAAGACCTTTTCCTATCCACCCAAAGAGAATATCCAGGAAACTGCTTCCAGTGGCTGTGGTCACTGTCTATGACTCTTGAGGTCCTTTTGGTTTCAGTTTTACTAAGGGCTTTTGCCCCAGGGCAGTGAGCAGCTGAAGTTTTGTGAGGTATCTCCACTGGAATGATAACGTTTCCCTATGACAACCCACCACAGTGTTAAGAGTCCCAGAGATTAGAAGGAATAGTCAAGTAAACCTAACCTGACAGATTTAGATTGCCTGCCTGGGGGCAGGGCAAGGCAGCATAGTCTGTAGCTGACTTCCAAGGTTGCATATAACCATGTCAACGTTTGCTTCCCATAGATGACAAATAGGAAATACCTTAACTGGATTAGAAATTTAAATGTTCCCTTAATTCTTTTCTTTCTTTCTTTCTTTCTTTTTTTTTTTTTTTT